ATGGGCTGCAGCTATAGCGGTATTATTGTTGGAATACTACCACTCGAGCTATAGACGGATACCACGCATGACATCCTCTTATATTGGGGATAAATGGGTGGGTAAGATGCTTATTGGACATTCGATAAGGTTCAACAACATTTTTAGAATGATTGCGCCCATTTTTATTGATCTTCTACACGAGTTATGTCAGAACCACGACCTACAAGGTTCTTCTAGAACGACTACGAGAGAGGTGTTCGCCATAACATTATACATGCTCTCACAGAATGAATCAGTTAATGGAGCTATGGAGCAATTTCTACATTCATCAGAAACCTTTAGTCGATACTTTTACAAAGGTATACAAGCACTTGCGAGCTTAACAACACAGAACATTAAGCCAGTGGATACATCGTTCTCAACTATTCCTGAATAAATTGCAAATGATCCCGGTTACATGTCGTATTTTAAAGTAAGTATTATTAGTTTGTTACTTTAGCTTAATAACCTCTTGAGTTGCTAACTATGATTAACAGAACTGCATTGGAGTAATTTTTGACACGCATGTAGATGACAGACTACCAAACCATGAGAAGATCGGGTATATTGGTCGGAGTGGTACAACTACCCAAAATAACATGGCAGTGTGTGACTTCAACATGTGCTTCACATTTGTAATGGCGTGGTGGGAAGGAAGTGCACATGACAGTCGTCTTTTTTCCTATGCAACTAGGAATAAAACACAGTGTTTCCCTCACCCACCTCTAGGTTTGTTCATCTTACTTAAACCTCTCGTTAATTACATTTATTATTTTAATTAATATTATCTTTCATAACAGGGAAGTATTATTTGGTAGATGTTGGATATCCGATGTTAGGGGCTACCTGAAGCCCAATCCAGACACTAGATACCATATTCCTGATTTTGAGCTAGCAAGTGACACAATTTGTGGCAGAAAAAATATGTTTAACAAACAACACTCCTCTTTACAGGGGGGGGGGGGGGTAACATTTAGAGTGTGGAAAAAGAAATGAGTTATCCTTTGGGATGTGGAAGAAGAAATGGGTTATCCTTCGTGATATGCCATCGTATTCATTTCCTAAAGAGGTGCATATTGTGGTGGCCACTATGACACTTCACACCTTCATCTGACGACATCCCTCTCATTCAGATACGGACTTCAATATGACTGATGATGATCAAATTATTGACTCTCTAGATCTCTAGAACCTCTCTCTAGAACCTTCAAGATCTCTAGCTGATAATGAGATCGAGTCGATTGAATATGAAACTTAGGATGGCGAGGGTGCAGCCGAGATGGCTGCTTTGAGGGAGTCTATCGCAGATGCTGTATCTAGATGTTGATTCAACCATGCTTTTTCATTTATTATATGTTCTTTTGGGATGTAATGCAATGTAGTATGAATTTATATTTTAAGGTTTTATTAAGAATTTTGTATCTTTCATTTGGGATGTAATTCATTGTAGTATGAATTTGCATTTTGTTTTAAATTATTTATTTTGCCCTGTTTAGTTTTAGATTATTTATTTATTTTTCTTTTTTTTGTTTCTGTTTATTTTTTGTGATCTGATATGTTATATCTTTTGATTGTTTTATCTTAATAGCAGCATGAGCTCTAAGATTTCAGGGACCTCCCAAGTTGTGTTATGTTACTGCGGACTGCCGGCTCCCTTACTCACGTCACGCCAGCAACATAGCGGTGGGAGACAATTCTGTGGTTACTATTGAGGTGTTTTAGCAAGATGTAGTTTCTTCCGTTGGGCCGACATTCTGACATACTCCCAGGCCGACAGTGATTGTGTTGCTATGGTTTCCCAAGAGGACAGTGCCGCTGAGGAGAGACGATGTCAGAGTTTTAAATTGAACATTTTAATATTTTTACTTGTAATTGTAATTATATTTCTTCTTATTTTATTTGTTTTGATACTCACGAAGTGGTGATAAATGTATTTTAACTTTTGTAACTGTACTATAATATTTTGAGACATTTGTTTTATCTATTATTTTTTATAAACACTTATGTTGCAAATAGCTTAACCAAACAGTGGCAGAATAGTTATTTATCCAACAACAGCTCCCAGTAAGCTGTTCTGAATAAGTTTCCCCAAACAGCAAGTCAGTCTGATAATCTGCAGATTATCAGAATAATCTGCTTATCAACAGATTATAAATAATCAACAACTGCCCCAAATAGACCCTTAATTGGTGAAGAACTTCCTTCTAAGGCACAAAAATAACTCCAGACTACTGGCAAAAAGTTAAAAATAAGAGATGGGTGTCCTAATCCTAGAGTAGATCCACCCTTTGCAACATTAACAATAGACCGATAAATCACAAAATTGACATCAATAATCTTCATCGTCTAGTTCAAAGTGGCTCTTTCTTGGGTCACCTCACTCAGATTGGTAAGAGGAAGAAGCTTGTTAGCGATGAAGTAATGTCAGACTTTGGATGATGCAGTGAGATGGGATGAAGAAAAAAAAACTTTATGATCATTTCTCACTATCCACTCTTCTCTCCTATTAGTTAAAAAATCGATGATATCATCAAGCTCAGAGCAAGTGGGGACAATGTTAGAATAAAAATTTCTAAGGATATTACCCAACAAAAGTAGTGCATAAATACATGTAGGGGAGATATCCAGCTGCTTCTCCCTTACTAAGACTAAATCGTCAACAACCACAGAGAGGTTGGCATAAAACTCTCAAACTATAGAAATTATTGCTACTGCAGTAGTGTAGCAAAAGGCTTCCCAATGGAAAGATACAATTATGCTTTACACCTGATCCTCAGGGCTAATGAAACCCTGTTCAACAAGAAGCTTCTTTGACATAAGAATATTGTTATATTGCTGGAGCTAACAAATTTTTTATGATCAAAGGAGCTCTTCCCTTTGGATCCTTTGGTCTTAGGAGCCATATTAAGAGTATTTTTAATGCAAATGTTGATAGGAAGAGGCTTAAAATGAGATGTATATGCTCACAATATGCTAATCAAAGGTCAGATCAACCCTCCCCCCACAAGTTTCTTTTCATCACGGATTAACCAAAAAATTAAAAAAATTTGTCTAACGAACAGGAAAATGTAAGGCTTAGAACTGGAATTTCACCTTGTAAGAGGAATTCCAAGCCCAAAGTTCCAAGATATATCCCAAATTCAAGAGAAAGAAAACCCTACTTATTGCCCTAATATCGCTCAAAAGGAGTTGGAGAGAAAATCTGGTAAAAATGACCTAAACTAGAGCTGTTAGGCCAGTTTTTGTCAAGCAAAGGAAACCGGTGCCTAGGCACTTGGGTTACAGTGCCTTGACACTGGGTTATTGGTGCCTAGGTGGTAGTTCACATCCTTGCATTTTGATGCCAGGAGTCCCTAGGGCTTAATACGCCCTCTAAATTTAGTTTAAATTATTTAAAATGATTATATTAATGCTTCTTAAGTCTTAATTCATACTAGAAAATTAAAAAAAAAAACATACAAAATCATAGAATTTAGCTCATCCTACTTCTCATCGCACCTCACTTCCTTATTTCCAATTTCTAATAGAATCTTTTTCTTAATAGCTAATGGGTGCTTTTAGATATTTTATGAGGGTCAAACCCCTAGCCAAGATTGTTCCTAATATGTTAGCTTATGTGTCATCATCCTCAGAAATTTTCTTGTCCTCTAAAACATGCACCACTATCAGTAAATAAAAATAATGAAAAGTTCATACACATGCTCATCTACAATTGGGTCATTGGACCCGCCTGATGACAAACATCACTGGATAAAGAAAGTAATAGAATTGAGATGGACCGATCCAAATACTAAATCCAACATGACTCTAGATAGACCTAAGCTCGATTAAGAACTAAAACATGGAGGATAATGTTGATTCTATTGCCTCCAACAACCATGCTACAACCCAGTCTTAACGAAAAGTTCGTAGATTTGCAATCTCACATGACTTACTAAAATCAAAGCAATTTGACTCAAACCTAAACAAACATTCCAATCCATAACAAAAAATAACACAACTCAATTCAAATAGAAATAGACACACAAATACAAACCTTGGGTTGCCTCCCAAGAAGTGTTTGGTTTAACGTCGCTAGCTAACAAATCCAAATATTTACTTGAGTTGGCCCAACATTACAACTTCATTAATTATATGCATATTTCCACGTATATAAAGTTTAATTCTTTCTCTGTTAACTTTAAATATCCTTCCACTTTTAGGATCTTTAATATTGATTGCATGAAAAGGAAAAACTTTAATTACAGTAAATGACCCTGTCCACCTGAACTAAAGTTTTCCAAGAAATATTTTCAATCTTGTATTATATAGTAAAACCTCCTGTCCAGTTTTAGAATATTTTTGAAAAATCTTTTGATTATACCAATTTTTCATTATCTATTTATAAATGTTTACATTATCATAAGATTCATTATTAATTTCCTCGAGTTCATTTAACTGCAATAATATCTTCTCATCAGGTTCTTTCAAATTTTAATTAAATTCTCTTATCACTTAATATGCTTTATGCTCAAGTTCCACTGGTAAGTGACAAGCTTTGCCAAAAATTATTCTATAGGGAGACATTCCAATCGGTGATTTATACGAAGACTTGTAAACCCAAGGAGCATCGTCAAGTCTCAATGACCCATCTTTTCTGCTAGGAATAACAGTTTTTTTTTCTAATATTCTCTTGATTTCTCTATTAAAAACCTCAACTAAACCACTAGTCTAAGGGTGATATGTTGTAACTATCCTATTTTTAATACCAAATTTTGCAACTAATGGCTCAATCCTCTTGTTTTAAACATGGCCTCCCCCATCTATAATAATTACTCTCGACATCACAAATCTACTAAAAATATTTTTCTTCATAAATTTTGCAACACTTTCAGCATCACAGTTGGGTAGATCTACTACTTAAATCCACTTAGAGACATAGTCTACCACAATCAGAATATAAAAATTTTCTAGTGAAAATATAAATGTTCCTGTAAAGTCTAAACCCCAAACATCAAAAATCTGAGAAGCAGTAGCAGGCAGGCGAAGGATGTTGGGGGTTTGTTGGATACATTGATTCTCTGAGAAGCAGCTCCCTCTATTGCCAGGAAGTTAGCAGGTCTATTTCCCTCTCTGTAGATGCATGAGAATTCCACCTTTATCTCTTTACATAGTTGTTTCAGCTTAATGAGCCACTGTTGGATATGCCATGGGGGGACTGCCCTTTTAGTCATATAATCCACCAGTTGGGAGGAATCCATCTCAGCAATTAAATGTTTTGACCTATTTATTACAGTAATTTTGATAGCCCAATAAAGTGCCATGGTCTCAGCCTCTATAGCATCTTTTGCATATACGGGTACTTGAAAGTTGAGAAGACTTTTGCCTTTGTGGTCTCTGAAGACTTCTCCAATGCCTGCCTTGTTGGGGGAGAAGCTGCCATCAATGTTTACCTCAATGAAGGGGGTGTTTTGGTTTCTCCCAAATAACCTTAATGATCTTGTAGTTTCTCTGCTCCTCATTTCTACTAATTTGCATTATGTTGCTGAGGTTTTTCCAATGTATCAATTTCCTGATGTAAGCCAGACAATTTATCACTACCTTACTAGTGTTGGCCTCCATATTCTCATGCTTGATCTGATTTCTGGCAGCCCGTATGAACCAAGCAATGGTGAGAGGGATGGAACTTAATTTCAGCTTATGTCATTCTGTCATGCTCTCTTAAGCTTACTCCAACCTAAATTTATTGTGTTGTGTTGACCTCAATTTTTGTTGAGGTTTAGTTTTTCCTCTTTAGTAGCCTAGGGTCTAGCCATAGGACTTTTCCTGTTGACTATTCCTAGAAAACTAGACATGGAACCCTCACCATTAGAAATTCTACCCTCTTCTCCACTCAACTTGAAGTTCCACATGTTGCTCTCAACCTCTAAATATTAGTAGATGTGGTCACTGTGGGGGGAAACTCAAGATGAGTCACCCTTAGGATTGCTAGATCTTAAGGTTGTCCCTGGGTGTTGGTCTAGGGCTAAGACACTCACTAAACTCACTACACTTATCTGCACCCACAATCACTCATAACCCTAAACTCAAATTTCTAGCCTAGATCCCTTGATCTTTTGGGATACTCATGTAGAAGGTTCCCTAAACCTACTAACCCTAGGGCTATGATTTAGCTAAGACCACTATGTAGAGGACC